CCCCTACCTTCCCTCTGAGGTTTGAGCATCTGATCGATGCTTCTCTGTCTCTACAATCTTTTTGTCATCAGTTTATGTTTTTCATTATAATCCACAAATGAGTGAGAGCATGTGATATTTATCTTTCTCTGACTGACTTATTTCACTTAGCATAATGCTCTGTGAGGGAATATTTACTTTCACTTGAAAAATTAAAATACTTCTTTCCACTGAATGTGTGTCTAAAAATGTATTTAAATGTGTATATAAATCTGCATATATTGCAAGTGCCAGAAATACCTTCTGAAGGCAAAACATGGATTGGAGTAGAGGAGGAAACTGCACGCACCCTTGCAGTCCCCGGTGGTGCCAACGTGTAGATGTGGAAACATCAGTCAGCATGACTCCCTCTCTCAGCAGGTATACCCTAATCCCCGTACCTGCAGTCCATCCTGGTACTGAACAGCAGCCTTCATCGCCTCCTCCAGTCTGTCCACCCGGTCTTTCCAAGCTTTATTGAGAGAATCCCATGCTGAATTTAACTACAATATAAACATTAGGACTCCTTTATTGTCATACATTTTTAACTACTTCTATCCAATATGCTTTAGTGAATGAAACCTTTAAACACAGCATTCTGGTAAGAGTAGAAAATGTACCTCATCTATACTCTTCTTGACAATGGGTTTATCGGGTTCCCCACACGCAGTGATGAGTTCGGAGCCCAGGTTAATCACGATATCCAGCTCTTCCTGGAGCCCATCAATTTCTTCCCTGATGGCCTGGAATAAGAAATGGCAGCCGTAGAATTTTAAGCAAAACCACACCAAAACTAAAAAGATGTACACAAGCATTCATGGTAGTTATTTCTAGGAGGTGGGATTATGATCAATTTTCATTTTCTTTCTGTATTCTAAGTCTGCAATAAATCTTTTCAATGAGGAAAGATAACAGGTCAAATGGCTGCAAGATAACAGAAGAAATTTTTCAAGAAATAAAAGCATCCTTTGAGTAACAAATATCAAATGTTTATTAAAAGGGCAATATTTAAGAAATAATTCTATGTAACAAATACCAGAACAATTTTTTAAAGCACCAACACAACAATACTTATAAAACTTAGAAAGACATTTTGTTTTTCAAACTGACTTGTTTGACAATACACATTTAAAATAGGCATAAGTAAAACATGAGTTCAAAGACCTCACACAAAATAATGTATTTGCTTAGCAGATTTAGGGTAATCTAGCTCTGGGTTTATATTTTTACCCTAGTACACGTAAACTACAAACAAAATAAAACAAACAAACAAACAAAAACCTGTAACAGAAATTCAGTCTTCCATGTAAACTACAAACAAAATAAAACAAACAAAAACCTGTAACAGAAATTCAGTCTTCCACCTTTGCTTTTATCTTCTTGGTTAAAAGTATTTATTAATTCAAGAAACCTTTACCAAGCATAAAACAAGCCCTAAACTAGGGTTGAGCATACAAAGAAAAATAGGTATATGACTATTCCACTCATGGGGCTTGAGTTCATTAAGACAGACAAAGGTATAATTAATGATAAGTCATACTATGCATAGAGTCCTTTGCCTGAGGAAGTATTATGAGAACACCGACTAACTCTGCTAAGGAAACAAGAAAGGATTTTACATGGAGGGTAACTACCCAACTGCATCTTGAAGTTTGAGTGGGATTTGCCAGAAGAGTGATAGGAAGGACATTCTAGGGTGAGGAAATATAATGTGCAAAGATGCAGATGCCAGAAAGAGCACAGCAGTTTGGGGGAAAGCCCCTGTGTGCACCACAATAGGAGCAACAGAAGAAAATGGCTTTGGATACACACGGACTGGCTGGCATATAAAGGCCCAGACCCTGTCTAGGGAGTCTGGACTTCATACATAGGCAGTGGCTGCCTCTGAGGGGTTTGAAGTAACAACACAATAAGAGCGGATCAAGAGAGATGACTGGTAGCAGGGTGAGAGGCCTGGCAAGGAAAGAGACTGTATCACTTTGGATTACTTCAGAAAACGAGAGAGATGATGAGGCCCTGAAATAAGGCTGAAGCAGTAGGGATGGAAAAAAAAATCTTAAAATATATACTGTCTTAAGTGAAATTTGTTGTTGTGCTAATCTCCTACTATATCACTATGCATTCCACTTTCAGAACCAAATATAAATTTCAATAGAGTAATTTTGAATATTTACCAAAGGAATTCACTTTACAATATACTACAACTTATTTCTTCACTTTAAATGGGATACTCTGCTTACCTCTGCTGCTTCTTGCTGCTGTTTCACTATGGAGGGATCAATTCCAGGATCCTCCAGATCCCGGATGAAATCCTGAGTATCTTTTGTGGTCACGACCAAGGACATGTGATCACACCAGAACTTTTCTGCTAATTCCATTACATCCAGTAGTTTGGCTTCCCTTTCTTCCACCAGCGTGTGTATGTTCTCCCAAATGAAAACCATTTGGTCAAGCTTATCCTGAACAGCTATGGAGCGAAACAGTATCAAAAAGGCAGTATGTTAGCCCTATTTCAGCAAGAAAGCAGAACATTTTGGTTCACACGGAAACGGTGATCCAATATGGTATCTAAAATTGGACCAAATGTTAGTTGATCCCAGTCTTGTGAGTACCATTGGGCGCAACAGCCTATTCCAGACAAATGTGAGATCTGAGGACACCCAGCTCCTCCTGGCTGAAGGCTCTTCCTGATGAAAGTGGATGCTCAAGGGCAAGTGAGCTTACAGGAGACCTACGTCCATCTAGTTTCAAGTTCATCAAGTCTCCTTAATTCCAAGGAAAGGGAAATAACTACCTAAGTATATTCTTTATGGTCTCCAAATCAAGAGTACAGATGTCTGTTCAGTCCCAGAAATATAACAATGTAGGATATGTATTCCAGGCTTGCTTCTAGAGTACCCTTAACATGAATTTCCACTAACCTGTGGATGTTTTTCTTTTGAGCCCAGCTCATATCTTTTAGAATGGCTGGTTGCGATCATGGTTGGTTGCCATTTCTGTGGCTAAGTGGGATAGAATATCCATTATACGTAAGGTATTGTAGTTAGTAATGAGGAAAACAATCCTTAGGTTTAGTCTTACTGGTATTATGCTTTCACCAGCTAGCTTAAAAGGTCAGGAGAATGTGTGCTTTTTGTATAATGGCACATTTTGTATTTAACCGATTATTTTACAAACACAGGAAGACATTAACAAGGGATTAATGTACACAGCCCTTCAACCCCAAACACGTTGTATCTGTAATACCTTTTCTAAAATCTGGCACCCTGATATGCAATTGGACTGTGGTAAACAGCGTGAACAGTTAGAATTGTTTTGAGAGTAAAGTTCAATTGTTCCCCTATCCTGAAATGATTACCTCTGGCAGATATGTCTTTATCAGTGCCCCCAGATCGAGCAATCATTTCCTCTCCCCGCTGTTTAAGAGTCTCATACAATGGCTGCAGCTTCTCCATGTCCACCGACACGTTCTTGTTTTCACTGATCTGCTCCTTGATCTTCTCCACCTCGGCAGAGATGGAGGGCGGCTGCCTCAAGCGCTCCACGATGCGGTCCAGGCTCTCAAGAATCTGGTCTATCTTGTCATGGAACTGGTGGTAACATAAAGGGATCACTTATGGGAAAATGATCTGTGATACCCAATGTGAAAATTTAAATAAAAAAAACAAACACATACAAAACCACATCTACTTAATGTCACAATCAAGAACTAAATCTTAGTCCTTTTGTTGATAGATCCATCCAAAAAATTATATCCAGCTGGTGCATCAAGACATCCTGAAACCATGATTCACAGTCAGACAGACATGGCCTTCTCTGCACCACACTACTTATGTAAACTGGATTGCTTCTAGCAAGTAACTGAGTGATTCATTAAGAAATGGTATATTTTAATGTGTAAGTGGGACGACACCTGACAGCATTTCATCTACTGCTTCACTTTATCTTAATCCAAATTAATGTTTTAAAGTAAGTTAAATAATCTGGGTGTTTGTCTATCAAAACGGATTGTTTTATTCACTTTTACTGATTCTTTTGGCATCCTAGAAAAGTTATATTAATAAATGTGAAATTCATGGGTAGTTTTGGTTAAAGGAGTTTCTTAAGTTATAAGATTCCTGAATGGGAAAATGTTTGATGACATGGGTAGTTTTGGTTAAAGGAGTTTAAGTTATAAGATTCCTGAATGGGAAAATGTTTGATGCTGAAATGAACATTTGTGTTTAATTCATGATCAAACACATAATCAGATTAATGTAAGAATTTTAAACTTTTGTTTGTGAAGTTACCATAGACAGTGAAGCAAAGTTATAAAAACTTGTTCATTCACAGATTCTACACTATCCTCAACATTAAAGGAATCATCACTCACTCGACATTATAGAAGATGGACCACTAAATATCAGCATATCTAATAATAAAAACCAAATCTTGAAAATAGAAATGGCAGGTAATTTAGAATGTAACTTCTTAAAAAAAGATATCAAAAACAGAAAATACCATTTTCCAACTTTATATTTCTCCTTCATATTCAGCCTATCATTCACTCTTTATTTCTTTTTCTATTTTATATCATTTTTTCTATCACCATTTATCCCCTCTATGCTGTCTTCCACCTCCACTCTGTTGTCCATGTCCATGAGTTCTCTCTCTTTTATTTTTCTTTTTTGCTCAATTCTTTCTTATTGCCTTCTTGGGAGTGCTTCATTCATAGTGATAATAACACTTTCTTTTATTTCTCCCAATGGCAAATACTGCATTCTATTCTGGATGGACACATTTAAATATTTGGACAATGTGGACAACTATATTTCTCAAGTCATTGAAAATTATTTTTTATTACATCTACAAGCAGGCAAAGAAATATAAGGACTAGACTCAAGCAAACACCACCTCCGAGAGATGAAGATATCAATACTCAGAGATAATGTAGTGAAATGATTTTAGTTGAAATTTAATCAGGAGATGCCGGGAAATGTCTTTCCATGCTCTGCTGTTTGAAAGAACCCAATCGTATTTCTGGTGCACATCATTACCTGAGTAGATTGAGAAATGGCTTCATCCAGGGCCACAGCTCGCTTTTTGACATCTTCTTTAATTTGACTGTAAAGGCTGTCAGCTGCCACATACTTCTCTTGGATAGAAAAGCCCTCCTCTGGGCTCAGTTCCAATAACTGTGGCCCAGTTTTGTTCATCTTATCTATATGAGGCTTGTGTTCGGCTATCAACTCTCGCAGTTGCTATAACAAACCAAACAGCTTCTCAGTATCTGAGGGTCACACCTCCATATTACAGCTGTCTACAACCCCAATGCATCCAGCTGGCAGGAAACTCCAAACAAACACCCTCCCCTCACAAGGCATTTAATACACGATGGCTCATACAACTCTTTGCCAGAAAGAGATGCCCCTGACACAAAGATTCAACAACAGTCCGGTCGTGTCAAAGTCCCTTTAAGGACACATGCAAAATGTTGGTTGAGGGAAAGAACGTATTCTAGTTCATTATGCATTTTATACCATCATATATTTTGACAAGAGTATTAGCCAAGGGTCATATAACATAAAAAGATTCTGAACTTACTATATGTCCCCAACATACAGAGACTAAGCCATAACTCTTGGTGTCTCTTTATGCACCATCATAATATATACAAATATTAATTAAAATAAAAGAAAGAAGGGTAAAAAAGCAAAAAAAAAGAAGTAAGAAAGAAATGAAGAAAGGGAGGGAGGCGGGAAGGAAGAAGGTAGAGGAGGAAGAAAGGAGGAAAGAAGGAAAAGGAAGGAAGGATAAAGAAAGAACCTCAGCAGAAGGTAGCCACAAAGCTGAGAGAAGAAAAAAACTATACATAAGGCTACATTAGGTGAGGTAAGCCTGCAAAGCATTGTAATTATATGTAAATCAATATAAAAAGTATGTACATGTATATTATATTACACATATATGTATTAATCTAGTCTATGTACATATATGATATATGACATAAATATATACATATGAATGAACTATTTGTAGTTACTTTTAAATGTTAAAGACTGCTAGGGTAATCAATTTATCAAATACACAGCTGTATACTGAGCATTATTTATAAGATGTATTTAAGGAAAATATGTTAAATGAATACATTGAACAATATCTAATCAATTGACACAATGATATTAATGAGTGAGTGTGAAATCAAAATGAAGCCCCATTCTTTTTAGGGAGACAAATAAATCTGGAATATCTACAATCCATAGAACCCAGTGCCTCCACTGGACAGAATTTCATGGGCCAAATCCAAAGCCACTCCCAGGGGAAAGATCAGTCATTGCCTGCAGGTTTCTCTGAGGCTGACCTCCATAAAGCATTGAGGAGTGTTCCATTTATTCCACGTTATTCATTTGGTTCCCTAATCAGCAGTTCCTTGTTCTCAGGTATTCTCCAAACTGTTTGCTATTTAGACCCAAATAAAAGCTTCTCTGAGAGAAATTATATTCAGGGAAGACAGTCTAAAGAAAAGCTACTGATCTTATCCTGCAAATATTTTAATTTCTATCATTCATCAAGAAGAATCATCAGGATGGCCACATACCATTTTTTATTAAAAGTGCCCACTAAAATCAGCCAAGAAATTCTTTTGAAAAGTGAGGGAATCACTTCATTAGATCATTAACCATCTCCAATGTAATATACTATTTTTGAAGTATTTCTGAAGGTGGTCTCAAAACTCTTTTGGAAAAGAGCTAAAAAAACCAAATTGAATTTTTACAAAAGGAGGGGGATCTAATCTAACAGGTTGCACATAAGAATGTGGAAAAGGTCATGTCTGCAGTCTAGCTCCTGGGTGGTCCAGGCTGCGATTTTCTTATTTTTGTTTCATATTGTTAGATCGTATTTTCATGCCGCTTTACAGAACAGAGGTGGTGATGGTGATATTGGCTAACATACAATCTCACGGAAAAGAACTGTGTTACACACCTTTTGGTTTCAATATTCTATAAGGCATGTTTGTAAAACAAGCTCACACTCTGAATTATCAAGAGACTCTCAAGTAACATGAGAGATCTAGGAGTTCTTGAGTTGCTAGAGTCTAAGTAGGTCTCACCTGTGTAGCACCACTATGAGACACCTTTGCTTGGGAAGCAGTGAGATGAGCCTTTGTAAAACCATTTCATGAGAGACAAGAGAAGACCTACTAGGTGCCTACGTGGGTGTATGTGTGTGCATGGAGAAAGGGCTCCATAGGAGGTGTCTTTTGCTTCATAAGTAACAAAATGATTCCTGATAGCATTATACTACCATAAGAGTCCAGTTTTATGTATGCTGGAGTTACCTAATGTAACTTCAAGATATCTACCATTTGGTGACATGGCTCTTGGAGCCATTTTTCTTTCCTGGCTAGAATGAATTGAAAGGTATTCCCAAAAATAGCTGGAGAGGATATTGTGAAGTTACAGAGGACAGCCACTCTAGAAGGGGGCGAATAGTCTGAAAAATTTAGTTTGAACAATTTGAAGACTTGGCTACACAGTTCTACAGTTCCTTTTATAGAGAAAATCATAAATTTGTTTTGAAAGCTGAAAATGAGGCAAAAATATTAACTCAACTTTGAAATTTTCAAATCAATACCTGATTTTATGCTAATAATATAGCTACTCAAAACTCACCTCAGAGTAGAAGAAATCCATGAAACATTTTATATTAAAAAGCATCCAATGGATAGGCATCAGGATTTTTGTCACAAATAAACCTTTACACTAAATTCAATTAAATTCTATATAGTTTGTAAGTCTTTCTCCTGCTGAATGATTTATAGAACTCCATAAACTTTCCATTTTTTATTAGATAGTGTTCTCTAAAGCTCTCTTCTAAATAAATACTTCATTTAGAGATATTCTTCAATGCCAATACATTGAGAAAGTAAACAAACAGGATTAGTATGTCAGATACTTCAAACAATCATGTAATATATTCTGAGTTAAACTTTATGCGTGCACGCACGTGCACACACACACACCCACACTGGGCCTCTAGTTACATATAAAATATAAAACTTAGTCAATATATATAAATTAAAAGCAATCAAGATGCACAAATTAAAAGTGCTTCAAAGGCTTATTTCCCTAACATTGTAAATGAAAATTGTTTCTATACCCAGATGATTAATGCTATATACCATCCCATAAAAGCTGTGATATAATTAATGACATACACAATGTGATCTTTCCACATGAGTCTTCTCACTGCAAACCTGGATAACAGGTAAGCAACTCTGAGGTAAGCGAACTGTGCAGACCAGAACAGAATATTGCTAAAATGCCCTACTCATGTAAGATGTCTAACTATATTTAGGAAAACATCATAAAAATCATGATTCTCTTTCAGTAGGGAATACAGCATTCCTTTTGACATGGAGCTTACCCGATGTTCTTCCTGTTGTTGTCTTAGAGTTTCATACTCAAGGGCTGGGGCAGGGAGCTGAGAGATGATTCTTTGTGTTTCTGTCAGCCATGGCCAAAGTTCTTCATATGTTTCCCAGAACTGGTTAACCAGGGACTGTGCCCGTTCCAGCTGTAGATATCTCTCTGAGTTTATCTGGCAGATGGAGTCATAGTTCTTCAATATCTTGTCCAGTTTTTTCTAGAAATAAAGATGATGAAATGCGTGTAACTGGTGAGGTGGGCCAAGTAGCACATGTACCCAAGAACGTTTGGTCCAGTACTAGACTCCTGGTGTCGAGGAGACACTCAATAATGTATGTTAAAGGAATAAATCAATAAAAGCTATTTATATTTTAACTGTTACTGTGTATTAAAAAGTTCATTTTAAATTAAAGAAAGGCCCTCTTGGTTCATATCCATGTTTCTGCATGTGGCAGGATTTCCTTCCTTTTAAAGGCTGAATAATATTCCAGTGTCTGCTAATATGAAGTGTTTTTAACACAATAAAAAAAAAAAAACACCTATACATATACATATGTAAGCAATAGCAAAAATGTGGAACATCTTAAAAGTACAATGATTAGAGATCAGGCTGGTAAATTATGATATATTCATATAGTAGAATTCTACACAATCATTTAAAAATCATGGAATTTAATGACATAACTTCACAAAAAAGATGTTAAGTGAAAAATACCAAAATATAAATAAACACAAAAGCAAGGCCTCAAATTTTTATAAGTAAGACAGTGACCTCTCTAAATATACTGAGCAAAATTCAGTGTCTTCTAGGTTAGAAAACGTCTCCTGAGTCTAGCAACATTTACATTACTTTCTCAAAAAAAAAAAAAAAAGGACTACCTTTCACTAATGAAATTATAGGAGGAACTGCTAGTCAGCAAAATTAATTACATATATTAGAATAAATGTAGAACATTATGCTATCCACTGATTTCATGGGGTGGTCACAGTGATTTAGGTTATAAATCCACATCATAAACTAATAGCAGAAGATAAAGCACAACAGTGGTCTAATGAACCACAGAATGACAGAAATTATTTCATGATGACCTGTGCTATTCATATCAGAATCTTTACAAAAATAATAAAGGAAAGATTAAATTATAAACAAGTAAATCGCCATTGTGGAGGATAAATAAAAGAGAAAGTATCAATATATAGTGTACACTGTATTACTTATCTATGTTATATCTTAAAAGAAATGCATACCCTTTAAAATGTGATCTTAGGCATAGGCATTTATATAATTTAATTTTTGCCATGGAATATTTTCCTATTATAAGTGTTAATTTCTTTAGGCTGTTCAGATGTCAGAATGTGAAATAATGCGGCTGGTTTTCCATCAATTTAAAGAATCATTAAAACTACATAAACTGGATGCTTCCTGAATTACTCAGCTCATTTCCCCCCCCCCCCCCATACAGCTTACAGTAACTTCCTACAGCATGGATTTCAGCATTAGAGAGAACCACATACTCTGGTTTTTCTTCCAGCTCAAGAGGCCCAAATGTTTCTGAAGTATGTAAACAACAGTTGACATTTATAATAACAATTTATAACAATAATAATGGCAATAATACAGCTAACATTAATTGAATCCTTAATGCACACCAGTTAATCAAGGGCTCAAATTTGAATAGCTTTTCTGTATATTATAAAGATTGCCCCAGGGTGACTCCCTTAAGGAATACTCCTTTCACTGTTATTCTTGAAGCTTGAAAAATGCCTTATTTGCAACTAATGATTTAGCTGTTTAAACGGCAGCTGTGGATAAAGGAAAAGTGCTTTCCTAGGGCTGAAAGCTCAACAGATGCCTTTATTCAAAAGTGTCACTACCAGTCACAGAGACAAGATTATACCTTCATTGATTGCTTTTCTTCTTCACTGCACGTGGTCATGATTTTATGTCCAGATTTAACAAGTTCATCAATAATATCCTTGTGTCTCAAAATTTCCATGGTAAATGCCTGTGATTTACAAAAACAAAGATTTTTTTTAAAAAAAGAGAGTGTAAGAATAAAATGAAAACAATTAGGCAAAGTAGCTGAAAATATCACGCTACACTAGTGGAGTTCAGCAAAGTCAAGCATGGGAGCACATTTTCTAGCCGAGCAGATAATGGAGATGTAATTGGAAATGCCCTTCACCTTTTGAACCTGCAGCTGAGCGGCCGTCTGGTCTTGCTCAAGCCTGATGTCACCCAGAGACATCAATTTCTTTTCTGTTTCAGTAATCCAGGATATCTCGGCATCGGCCGCTTGGTCAAACTAAACAAAAGATAAATAATTAGGTCAGCAAGTTCCTGTAACTGGTGCCAGAAAAATACCTATGTACATATCTTTTAAATATCCTTATTACACAAGTGGAAAAACCTGAGCTTATCTCTTCATTGCATCCTGAAATGATTCATGATAATGACTGAAGTTACAAAGAAAGGAAAACAACTTTCACAGAGTAATTAAACACAAGCTCTTAAAGCATGTTGAATCCACAGCACGGCATCCGTGATTTTAGGAGACCTAACACTGCTGCCTTCCTCTGGTAGTCACAAATATATTCTCCCTCGGAGCACTATCCAAATTGAACAGCTATAAAAGTCAATAGCTGAACACCATCTTTCAATCATTTCCTCATCACTTTAAACCATATGATATGCAGGTAGCATTCTGCTATCAAAGTATACGATTCCTAGCAAAAAAAAAAAAAATGAAATGTTCCCGTTTTTTATTATCTGTGTATAAATGTATGTATAATGTGTTTCTACACATAGAGTATGTCTCCAAATGACTCATGTACAATTTTTTACATCTCACTTAATAATAGCAGAAAACATATTCAAGAGCTTTCTTAAGTATTTCAAGAGATTTTTGTTTTCCTGATCATAATAGTAATTCATGGTAGAAATTCATACGATACAGAAAAATATGCAGAAGAAAATTAAAAACTAGAGGGAATACCATTGGTATTTTAGTGAATTTTCTTCCAGGAGTTGAGAAAGGTTTGTAAAGGTCTGTATAATACTGTATAAACAGTTTCATATCCTGCTTTTTCATTTATTATGAACATTTCCCATGGCATGTTCTTTTATGTGTGATTTTTAAATAACACCATTGTATTCTAGCATACTTGGATATTTTCATTTAGGGTCTCTGCATTTTTGTGTGTGATTATATAAACAACCCTGTAATGAATATCTTTGTATATGAATCTCCACTGGCATCTCTAATTAGTTCCTTAGGGTAGATTCCTAGACGTTGACTACCAAGTCAGAGAGCGTGACCATTTTCAATACCTTACATCAGATAAGCCCCAATGCCCTCCAGGGCCAAGCACTTATCATGTACAAGTAAAGTGAGTAAGTGACACCACAAGCACCAATAACAAATGGCAACTAACAACAGCCTCAGCTGGAAGATTTAACAGGGAATGGACATTGTGAGTATTCAAGTCCGGTACTGCCAGACCTTCTAATTTTTTAAGAGAACCTGGAAATCCAGAAGGGGGAAGGGGGATAATTAGCTGGAGAGTGAGAAGGGTGGGGATAAGAAACTAGACTGAAAAAGAATTCACATTTTTAAGAGTCTATGCAACATTATGCAGACTCCTGAGAGGATGGAGTGAAAAAGAAAAAAAATCATCGACTAATTCAGCAGCTTCAGATGTGGAAAAAGAAGTCTCTTTTAAAAACACATGGAAGAGTCCTCTGTGCATGGATTACTAGCTAACGTGGTTAGAAAGCAGATGTGTTATGCTAAGTGAAATAAGCCAGTCAGAGAAAGACAAATACCGTATGATTTCACTTCTATGTGGAATCTAATGGACAAAATAACAAACTAGTAACAGAGTCATAGATACAGAGAACAGACTGACAGCTGTCAGAGGGAAGGGGGGTGGGAGGACTGTGTGAAAAAGGTGAAGGGATTAAGCAAAAAAACAACAACAAAAATCTCACAGACACAGACAACAGCATGGCGGTTACCAGAGGGAAGGGGGTTGGGGGAGGTAGAAGAGAGTAAAGGGGGGACAAATGGTGATAGAAAGAGACTTGACTTTGGGTGGTGAACACAATACAATATACAGATGATGTATTATAGAATTGGACACTTGCAACCTATATAATTTTATTAATCAGTGTCATCCAAAAAATTTTTTAAAAATTTTAAAACAAGTGCAAGAGTCTTCTATGCATGGATTATTAGCTTTAAAGCCATATACTGTATAATGGAACTTCAAGGTAGAACTTCATTACATGACTCACTTAAAGAGCACAGAACTGAAAAAAACAGTCCAGGCCTTCTACCTGAGTGCAAAAGCTATCCGAATAAAATTGAACAGTGTTTTCTTCTGCTGGTCCCTGAAAAAATAAAGCAACACAACATCCCTCTTGTTTGTGTACAGTCCAGGCCTTCTACCTGAGTGCAAAAATATATCCGAATAAAATTCAACAGTAATGATTTGTTTTCTTCTGCTGGTCCCTGAAAAAATAAAGCAACACAACATCCCTCTTGCTTGTGTTCAAGCAATTTTTAGTGTTTATATGACAGTCCTAATAAAGAAATTCAGGCTGTTAGTGTTAATATTAGCTTAATACCACATCTCCCTCTCTTTAAAAAAAAAGTAGCCAATGAAAAACAGTATGATGATACCATCCAAGCTGCCAAAATGGAAAGCTGAAACTCAAACACTGTTTCTTTAACCCAGGCAAATATTTGCTCTGCTGAAAGAAAACAAGCCTTGCAGCAGAAATTTCCCTTCTGTCTTTGGATGTTTTTTTTTAAATTAAATTGACAAATATTTATTATTTAGCAACAAATGGAATAGCCACAGGGTCTACATTAAGCAATTTACAGTTAAGCAAGGCATTTTATTTAGCTCTGTGGCTCTTTTAAATGACTGCTGAACATGGGTATTTCTATTGAACCATAAAAACTGCTTATTTTACATGTGAGCAACACGAGAGCAAGATTACCAGACAAATTTTAATAAATTTGCCCATGGCTCATACAAGTAGTAAAAAGTGACTTCAAATGAATTGTGGATAATCTTAGCATCCGTAACTGCATTCTGGGAAATACTTTAATAGTATGCATCATCGGTGGAGTCTAGTCATCAACCTTGGCTACTATAGCTCCTTTCCTGTTATTAATAACTAGGTTAATTACAACGGTATCACTATTATAGATGAACTAGAATTTCAGAATGTTTTACAAGTTAAAAAAAGACATTTTATTTGGCTATCTCTAAATATTCCTGTAATACACTCTCTAAACTGGTAACAGCCAACCTTCTACTGAACACACTAAGTGCTTAACATGTATTCTCTCTTTTAATCCTGACAACTATATAATGTATTACCAGTAACTCCATTTACAGCCGAGAAAACTGAGGCCGAGAGAAGTTCACTGAGTTACCAGAGATTTCCCAGCTAGTAAATGCTGGATCTGAGATTTGAACCGACGTGGTCTGACTGAACCCTAGAGGCCGCAGTCTTAGTTGCCCAGTTTTGCCCTTTTTTTCTTGGGCTCCCTGAGCTAAAAATACTCATCCGATGGCACCAAAAAATGGCTCAAATGCCACAACAGTTAATAAGGGGTAGGTTTTAACTTACGATTTAAACATTTATCCAATCTCTGACAAACTGCTTTCGGACTTATCTAGAAAGTTTCTCTTGAGTGGCAATGGAGGTTTGAGAGTGATAAGGAACCTTAACCTCAAGGACATCCTTTCCCTCCCTTCCCCTGGTGAGGATCTTATCACTTTCTTTTGATTCGCACTTCCTTCCACTTTGCTGCACAATATTCATAACACAGCCCATATTTTCCCACCCCAACACCTGGCGGGTCTAAACAAATCTCACTTCCGTGGGAGAGGTTTCCTTCTAGTAACTAAGTTCTTTAAAAGAAATAAACAGGTGGTATGGTGTTATTTTTCTCCATGGCTGATTCCAATGAGTCGTTTATTTTAATTGCACCCAAATCACCAATACATGTGCCTTTAGATTGGGGTAACATGGTCTGCCAAAATAAACCAGGCAATTAGAACTCCCAAGGAGATGGACACGTTTTAGCAACTTTCGACAATTGTACATTTATAAGAGGTAAAGGACAACAATGAGCTTCTCTGAGGTTTAAAGAATTGCTGTGGTCAGAATTCAGGCTACAAGTCTGTACATCTCTTAAGCAAAAGTGCCTTTCCCATTTCCACATGGCTGTTTGGTTCAATTTGCAATTCAATAAAGAAAGCAACAAAGATGTGTTACTTTGTGTAGGTTTAACATGTAAAAATATGTAGTTTCTAACTCAGAAAACGGCATTCAATGTTAGGAAGCAAGTGTCTTATTCTGTTTTCTTTCTTTTTTATTTTATAAAGCTCACCATCACTGTTTACTAAGCTGCCTTGTCCACTCCAATTTTTCCTAAAAGTAATAAATGAGTCAAGTCAGTTCTTTTAAAAAAAAGTATTTTCTTCAGAATATCAATGCCTACAAATCTGTAGTCAGATTTGGGGGCTAGTTGACTGGTAGCACTAAATGCATACAGTCGTCACTCATTTGCACATAATTGAGGCTGCTCAATTGTTTCCCAAATAAATAAAAAAATCACTCAAATTGGACCTATGATTTCAAAATTTAATGACACATCTTTTCAAAACTGCGGTTGTGATATAAGATTGACATTTAAACCTATCCACGCCAGTGTGAGCTTTTTAAAAAACTAAACTTATATAGGGCAGTTAGAAAGTACATGCTAACTAAAAGACATGCTATATGCTCCCTTCCCTTATGTCTTCGAACTTTAATTCCTTTTGATGTTTTCCTGGATATCTTTCATGTCAATATTTGGAAGCCAATACGCTCTCTGATAGTGGCCTGACAGTTCACAAAGTCCCTATGCATTTGTTGAATTCCAAAAAGCAGGGTATCTATACATATAAAAGCCTAAGCGACCGTTGCAACCGAAACAACTGAACGGACAACTGAACAGGCTGCGTGGGGCAACCAGGCCGGCAGAGGGGGCAGTTAGGGGTGACCAGGCGGGCGGCAGGGGGGTTAGTGAGGGCCGACCAAATGACTGAGCAGCAGGCTGTGTGGGGTGACCAGGCCAGCAGGGGGGTAGTGAGGGATGACCAAACGACTCAGCACCAGGCTGTGTGGAGCAACCAGGCCAGCAGGGATTTAGTGAGGGGCAACCAAGCCAGCAGAGGGGGCAGGTGGGGGCAACCAGGCCGGCAGGGGGGGCAGTTGGGGGTGACCAGGTCATCATGGGGGGCAGTTAGGGGTGATCAGGCAGGCAGGCAGGTGAGCAGTTAGGAGCCAGTGGTCGTGGATTGTGGGATCGGGCCTAAACTGGCAGTCGGACATCCCCCGAGGGGTCCTGGATTGGAGAGGTGCAGGCTGGGCTAAGGGCCCCACCCCCCCACTTCCCCCCCCTGCACGAATTTCGTGCACCGGGCCTCTAGTAACATTATTAAGGTACTGGATCTGGATCGATTATGTAAACAACCTTAATGTGGCAAAAGATGAAACATCCTAAGAGCAATTTGCTTGGAAAACAGGTATTCAAAATTTAGTTTAATTTAACCAGGTTACTCCAAGACAAAACATGAAATCTACAAATTTAAAAATTACCAAGTCATGTTCAAGGCACATATCCTCACCCTGTCACTGGTGGGTGTGGTTATCTTGGCGGTTGGGATCTGGGATGGAGTAGTGTTATTAACACAAAGTGTATGTGTCTAAAGACATGTCTAGAAAGATGGGCTGTGGACAGATCATGTCCATGTTTTACATGGACAAGAGACAGAATGGTAGATGATCTGTATATACCACAAAAAGTATATAGTATAGAACTCGTGGCTAATATCAGGTCTGAAGATTTTTCTTTATTTCGCATCACATTCCTTTTATACTTCATGATGTATTATCACTGGGTAAACAGAAAACAAATATCTCAGTATCAAACTGCACTCCGGTCCTAATTCAAAACATCTTTACGTGGGAAAGGTTGTAAAATAATTTCAGTGACATATTAGCTCCTTTGTAAACCTGAAAATTATGAATATAGAAACTACTCTTTTGAGTGTGAAACTAAAATCTCTGCCAAATCAGAAAGGCAGGTTCCAAATTCTTCTTAAACTTGCCTGGAGAGTGGTCTCCACGATCCTTTGGTGTTACATTCTCATGGCTCCCAGTCCTTATAAACTGGAAACAGCCTCACTACATACTTCCATTTCCCTATAGCAACGGCACCTTCCTTCAGATTAATGAAGGAGGTGAGGGAAAAAAGGACCACCCCCAGGGTTTCCCCTCCCTGTGTAATTTATAAGGAGGCACTGCAGGGTGGTAAAATGAGGTCTGGGTGAAATTGGTTGTGGCTTCACCACATACTAGCTGTGGGACCACAGGCAGGTCACTTCACCACACTGCACATTTTCCTCCCAGCTCTAAATCATGTGTTTCCTTGT